TGAAAATGAAGGAGAAGACAATTATGTCTCTCATTATGTGATAATGGTTGAAGACTGAGGTAAAATGAGTGAATTAAATAAGCAGTTGTTGGTGGAAGTTTATATTTGTGGACGAATAATTTGCACATATGCGACAATTTCCCTTATAAAACGCACACATAAAAAAGACAAACTAACGGGTAAATATCTTTAATCCGTATGTGTAATTTTGTGAGTTAAACTAAACTTAAACAGCTCATACCGAGAGTACTTTACGCACGACTCATCACAGTTTTGGTGCTTCCCTAATATGTTTTCATTATGGTTTGTTACCTGTTGTGACCTTTTTCTTTCCTAGTCTTTGAAAATAAGAATTAAACTACTTGCAAGCATATCAGTAAACAATCGCGGTGTTGTTCTTTGGTCCAATTTGGTATATATCATGCTAAGACTTTTAATTTTCTGTTTGCATTGTGAAGGAAGTTTTGCTATTCTTTGTAGTAACCTTTTCTTTTTGCCTTGTTTATGGAGACGAGTAGAAATATTCATGTATGGACATCAACAGCTGTGCGTCTTGCCAATACCAAAGATTGAATCTGAGTAGTAAAGTGCTTATTAGCTGAGCTTATCACGTGCATGTGAAATGAGGTAAATTATTAATATATGATTAATCAATTGTAAACTATTATAAAATCTAAAAAAAATAGATTCATTTGTTTCTAAAAGAAACTTCCATATAAATCTTTTTTTCATGAAACACACCATTTAATAGTCAAAGAAGTGTGCTCACGAAGTACAAGTAGCCCAATAAAAATGCTCTTAAGAACGCAACCTTAATGATTAGCTCAGCCCATTCAGGTCTCTAAGGGTCCCTTTAAATCACATGAATGAAAAAAGGATGAATAGGAAAAACATATAATTTAAATAGAAATGCAAGTGCAAAATAGAGGGTTGCAAAACACATGAAAAACATATGAAATGAATGACTATTTCATTGGGCCGCAGGAAAAACACGGGAATTTGAGAAGAGATAAAGACTCAAAGCATTCTTTCCATGAGATTCTACCTCATATTAAATTTCCTCTAAAACTTGTATGAAAAGAGACATTCCATAAGAATTGTTCATTTATTTGATTAAAAGGGCTATGTAGGAAAAATTCCTATAGTAATGAAATCATCTAAAATTCCTATGAATTTCCTTTGAATCAAAGGGGGCCTAAGGCCCCTTTCATTCATATGATTGGCAAAGGATTTTCATAGGATTCAAATTCCTATGGATTTTTTCCTACATGTCCCTTTGATTCATAGGAATGAAAAAAAAAACTTTTCATAGGATTGCATTACTATGCTTCACATCTCATAGGAAAAGTAGCAAGAGGTGTGATTTATTTGTGAATTTTCCTTTGTTTTTCCATGGCATTATCAAAGGACTCGTATTATCTTTCCTATGTTTATTGATTCCTGTAGGATTTGAGAAGGATTTGAGAAGGACTTGTATTGTCTAGGTGTGATCTACTTCAGTTCTTGCGCTTTTCCTATATCTGTTTTTTCCTATCATGCAAATCAAAGGAGCCCTAAAATGTGTAACTTTGAGGTCCAAATGTCCCTAATTAGCATATATGCCTTTATGAAGATAAATCAAGTGTGGAGCTCGATATCTAAATTTCAGCTGACAACAAAATGTATTGTTATTTTAGAGCAGTTTGTGTTCCTAGTGTATACCTTTTCTTTTCATCCGAAAGATTTTCCATCTAAAAAACTTCCATATAAAAAGTGTGTATTTGCAACACGGCTGGGCTCAATAGTAATTTCGAACAACCACTACATGATGCGCCCTTCAACCTAACTTTCCACGAAGGGACTTTTAGGCTCAGATTATGTGTCAAAATAGACAAATATACGCTGATCAAGGATATTTAGACTTTAGAACTTAAGTAGAACCATTTACATATTTAGAGACATAGATCTATGTGTCAAAATAGGCAAATATAATTAGAAGACACTAACAGAGAAGAGTCAAAGGATGACACAGAAGGAGACGTAGGCAACAGGTGGAGGACCATCCATCAGAGATACAATCGATGATGGTGAGTTGAAGGAGATGAAGAAATAGAAGATTTCAAATCCAGTCGCAATCATTTGCTTCGCTCCCGTTACGACTGAGGGGGAATGTTAGAAGTATAATATGTTAGTTAGAGATAAGAGTCAAATACAAATTATAGAGATAAGATATATCCTAGAGATAGAATCCTACAGATAAGATAGAGTCCTAGAGATAGAATCCTAGAGATAAATCTACTCTTACTTATATTGTACTCCAAGTCTCTATCTCCTATATATGTACTCCTATATATACTCCATGAGAGGGTCGATGTAATACATCAGAAAACGCCAAAATACAATAATTAGATTTTCCACAGACACCACAAGCCAATTATACTTAAGTGGTTGTCACATGGATGGAGTCTAAGAGAGGTAGGGGAGTGTTTATGTAGAATTGGGCACAAGAGTTAGAATGGGAAGACGAAGAAATTTTGTAGGATGAAATCATATCCACGAAACCATTTTGAAGCAAAGTGAATTCCTAACATAGGAGTAGATCTTCAGAGTTACTGAGGGGTATGGACACCATGAGCAGCAAAATTTAGGGGTTCCCAAACATTACCAAACCTCCTTGCCAAACCTAGCTAGATATGTAACTTATAAATTGATGGCCACACCTTAGACAAGGTTTGACTAAAAGATGGGTGTATCACATGTGGGCCTTTGAATTAAAAAAATGTAGCATATCACAATTTTAAAAGTGAAACAAACAAATGTCTTAAAAAGTATGACAAGGTTTGGTAAAGTGAGTAAGTGAACCAAACATTCCCTTATACTTGCCTTATCGAATTAACACAAATATCGACTCCATTAAAACATGGAACAATAGAATTATCGACCTTTCCCAACTTTGTTAAGACGATGCCTATGATGCCTATATCATGATTGTTATAATATTTTAACTTTTTATTGTAAGGTTTGTCTGCGTTTTTTTTTTTGCCATGAAAATTTGTATCCTCTCCTACTTCCGATGGAAATGAAATTAGGATATTCCTTCGTTAAACCTTGGCCCATAGCTAAAAATCGACCTTATCACTGGCAGCTCGTGTCATCTTCTCCAAGCTCTCGTCCTCCACCAATGTCGGCCACCACCACCGCGCCGTCCCCGACCCCGATCCCCATCACCACCATCGCCGAGCTGAGGCAGCACCACTCCCAGCTCGTCCGCCTCGGCCTCGCCTCCCACCCGCCCCACGCGCGCCGCCTCCTCGCCTTCCTCGCCCGCGACCCCGCCCACCTCCCCTACGCCGCGCGCCTCCTCGCCCACCACCCGGACCCCCGCCCCGCCCTCCTCAACCCGCTCTTCGCCTCCCTCCCGCCGCGCGCCGCCGCGTCGCTCCTCGCCCTCATGCTCTCCCTCCCGCTCCTCCCCGACCACTTCACCTTCCCCCGCCTCCTCCCCGCCGCGCCGCTCCCGCTCGCCGCCCAGCTCCACGCGCTCCTCCTCAAGCTCAACCTCCACTCCCACGCCCACTCGCTCAACGCGCTCCTCGCCGCCTACCTCGCCGCCGCGCGCCCCGACCTCGCCCGCGTGCTCTTCCGCACCAGCGGCGGCGGCGCGCTCGACGTCGTGTCGTGGACGACAATGGTGGGCGGGCTGTGCAGGCTCGGCCTCGTGGACGATGCGCGGGAGGTGTTCGATGCGATGCCCGCGAGGAACCTGGTCTCCTGGAACTCCATGATCTCGGGCTACGTCAAGGCCGACCGGTTCTTGGATGCGTTGGAGGTGTTCGACGAAATGCGGGCGCTGGGAGTGGAGGGGAACGGGTTTGTGGCGACGAGCGCGCTGGTGGCTTGCACGGGCGCGGGCGCGCTGGGTCGCGGTAGGGAGATATACAGGTGGGTGGAGCAGAGCGGGATCGAGGTGGACGCCAAGCTGGCGACGGCGGTGGTCGACATGTACTGCAAGTGCGGGTGCGTCGACGAGGCATGGGGCGTGTTCGACTCGCTGCCGGCGAGGGGGCTCACGACGTGGAACTGCATGATCGGCGGGTTCGCGGTGCACGGGAGGTGCGACGACGCGCTCGAGCTATTCCACCAAATGGAGGCCGCAGGCGTGGCGCCCGACGACGTCACGCTGCTGAACGTGCTCACGGCGTGCGCGCACGCCGGCGAGGTCAGCGAAGGCCGCCGCTACCTCAACCACATCGTGTCTCGCCACGGCATCGAGCCCAAGGGAGAGCACTACGGCTGCATGGTCGACCTGTTCGGGAGAGCAGGCCAGCTAGACGAAGCCAAGAAGGTGATCGACGAAATGCCAATGGATCCCGACCTCGCCGTCCTCGGCGCGCTCCTCGGCGCATGCAAGATCCACGGCGACGTCGACCTCGGCGAGGCGATCGGGTGGCGCGTCATAGACCTCGACCCGGACAACAGCGGCCGCTACGTGCTCCTCGCAAACCTGCTCGCCGGCGCCGGCCGGTGGGACGAGGTGGGCAAGGTCCGGCGGCTGATGGACGAGCGGAACGTGAGCAAGGAGGCCGGGCGGTCGGTGATCGAGGTCGACGGCGAGGCCTGCGAGTTCCGGTGCGGGAACCTGCGCCACCCACAGGCTCGGGAGATCTACGCCATGGCCGTGGACATGGTGAGCAGGATCCGGGCCGAGGGGTACGTGCCGGACACCGGCGAGGCGCTGCACGACGTCGCCGAGGAAGACAAGGAGGCGGCGCTGCTGTGCCACAGCGAGAAGCTCGCGATCGCCTTCGGGCTGCTGCGCGCGAGGCCGCGCGAGACGCTGCGAATCACCAAGAACTTGAGAGTTTGTAGGGATTGCCACGAGGCGACCAAGTACGTGTCTCGCGTGTTTGGGCGTGAGATCGTGGTTAGGGACAGGAGCCGGTTCCATCATTTCAAGGATGGCATGTGTTCGTGTAAAGATTACTGGTAAGAAAAATAGACGTGATGATGCAGAGAAATTCTTTACAAGCAATCGATTCACAAATAGAGGTCACTGGGGTGCAACTGATTTTACTATCCATTCAAAGGTTCAGGAAACAGCACGGATTCACGTTTCTGAAGAACACAAAATTCACAAAATGACGTGAGGCCAATCACCTCACGGCTAAACCCGTAAACCATCCATCGACAGACACTACCCGTAAACCATCCATCGACAGACACTAAGAACGAGATGAAATGTAGTTCTCCATTCAGCATCTCCAACCTTCTCCATACTGCTGGTCACTCTCGATTTATAAGTTCTAAGCTATTTTTGCATTGGAGAAGTCCATCTCCGGGTGCTGTAACAAAAAAAAAGTTCAGTCAGGTAACTGAAGCGTAATAGGCGGTTAACGAAATAATGCATACACAGTTTGATCATCTGCTGCGAATTACCTGAGCCATGAATTTCTTGAGCATGTCTTGCTTCTGCATTTCATCACTTGTTGGAAGACCCATCTGCTTCTGGCGTTGATCAAACTGCACAATAGAGGAAAAATATTTAGCTCACCATGCTTTGTACAATTGTGAAGTTCTCTAGCTCAGATTGTTTATGGATCAAGGATTGCTCAACTTACCATCATCTTCTCCACAGTTTGTCGAGTCTCTGGATCCAAATCAGCGAGTTTGCTGTTCTCCGGTTCCACCTTCTGTGTATCAACTTCAGGGTCACCCTTCACTACGGATTTCCACCACTCCATTTGATTTTGCTTTGTCAGCAAAATGGACAGCGATTTTCCATCCTCTGAAGATATTATCAGAATCAAATGATTTTTTTGTCAGTAATGAACTAAGGTGAGAGTATTTTAAAAGGTCACTTCGTAAAAGTGAAGGACTTGTATCATATACCTATGCTCCAGAAGCAGTCATCAACTTTGACTGGTTTGAAAAGCTCACCCTGTCCAGAAAGAGCCACAATTAGACAATTAGAACACCACATATCAGATTCAGAGAAAATGTGCTTTTTTCCCAAAACAAATGCATTCACAAGAAAAATCATCAGTTTATAGTAGTTGGTACTTACATCAATGATAGGAGGCTGGCCCTTCAGCCCAACCTTCAGATGGTTCTTCTTAATATCACAGACGACAAACCTTGACTTCGTTCCTTGAGGAACAGGTACGGTGATGGTAACCTCTGGCAATTGCTGAATCCAAGAGTACTTCTCCAAATCAAGACCATTGCCAGCATTTGGTTCTGTTTCATAGAAGAGGATTATGTTAGACGCCAATCAATTGATCTCCAAAAATTGGGGCAAATTATTTCGCCAATAGGCAAATGAAAGGACTACTACAGGTAAGATTACATGGTTATATCAAATTAAGTTCAGTTGTTTCTCGGGATATAGCATAGCACAAAACCAACTTTCTGCAAGCCCCATCAATTGAGCAAACCAAAGTAAAATTCATCCAGATTGAAATTGGCCTTCAAATCTAATGGAAACAGATACCTTTGTTCTGCATCAATTTGACAATTGCAATGGGAATTTACTTATAATAAATAATGAATACATGAAGTTTATTCTAATTCCTAAATACTACTCCGTATGCACCAGTATTGTTTTACCCAGAGGTAATCAGCAGCAAATAGCTAAGCAGCAAATCCATCTTCCAACTACGAAGTATACCTATGTTATTTTTAGAAAACTAAGTATGTTGTGAGGAATAGATCATATAAACCAATATTAGCCTTAATCAAGAGTTCTATAGAGACAAAAAGAACCTACCGCAGTAGCAGACAGAAATTAAGGTACTAAAACAACAAAAAAAAGTTTGTATTAGCATCACGCAAATAATCAAGATCCCTAAATCCCTGACAAGCAAAGTCATCAATATCTAAAGCACATTTAGCATCAAAACCCTAAAACTCAGCAGTATTAACAATTGCAGGGGGCATGGGAACAGAGTACTTACTCCTCACGTTGCCCTCCTCCTTCTTGTCCACCTCCATGCTATCCTTCCCCGCCGAGCTCTCCGGCTTCGGCTCCGCGGGCGCCTTCGCCTTCCTCTCGGCCTCGGCCGCCTTCCTCTCCGCCTCCTCCGCCTTCCTCTTGGCCTCCCTCGCCTTCCTCTCCTCCGCCTCCACCACCGCCCTCGCCGCCGACGCCATCGATGTGACCCTGCTCACCGCGGAGGGGTCGCGGAACAGGTCGGACCGCCGCCTCGCCACGTCGATTGCCGCCTGGAGGAAGGGGATCGCGCCGCCCCTCCGCTCCAGCTCCGCCGCGAGGACCTCGTCGCCGCTCCCCGCCGCCGCCGCCACCGAAGCCGGTTGCTGCTGCTGCCGCGGCGGAGCCTCTTCCTCCTGGAAGTCGGAGATGATCGCCATGTGCTTCCGCCGCCGCCGCCGCCGCCTCCTCTTCTCTCTCGCTCTCCTCTAGGGTTTTCGAGAAGGAATTCTTGGGGATCTCAGATTCGCGAGGGTTTTCGAGGGAGAGGAAACTTGGGGCTTTGGACTTCGCTTATAAGGGCCTGATTGGTCTAGAAGTTTCCGGAGGTGTGTAAGGCCCTTAGGGTGGATGACAGGTGGGACCGAGGATTACAAATAAGACCCCGATTTCCCTGTTTCCTTGTAATTCCAAGTCCAAATTCTACACGAGTTTGTATTTAACAATGCTTGGGACTGGATTTCCATCTTTTCTAGTAGTATTTCGAAGTCCAAATTCTACTAGAATTGTATTCAGCCGTGCAAGTTTTGGTGTTTGAACAAACAAAAAAAAAGTAACCTAAATTTGGGAAAAGGTTCAAATTCTACTCGAGTTTTGTATTTAATCGTGCAAGTTTGGGTGTTTGAATCAAAACAAAAGTAATTAAAATTTGGGAAATTTTAAGGAAAAACTGTTGACAAGCCTTGCAAAAATACATGAAGCAATTGAAAATAATTTATAAATAAACCTTTTAATTTATGTTTTATGGTGAATTAAGAGCTAATGCTGAATAGTAGCATTAAAAAAATCAAAACTAATTTTGAAATTATATTTTAAAATTTTAGTTTTAGCTTCAATTAATAAGCCAATAAGTACATAATGGAGTTGTTAGAAAACGTTGTTCAATATAACTAAGCATCCCTCCCAAAGGAAGAAAAAAAAAAGAAAGGTCCACAATAGGGGACAAACATCTTCTTTTCTTGTGAAGTGAGCGTAGCTTAAGTTTGTTTGTTAGGCTATTCACAATGCTTCACGCTGGAGCGTTCCTTCATCCCACCACGTAGACTTCATGATGTCGTGGAGGAGAGAAGGTGTGGACCCTTGCACCTTTGCAGAACTTTTTGTTCCTCAACGAAGAGGCAAGTTCCTTGTCTGAAAAACATGAAAAAGGCACAAGTAAAGCTGAAAAAGCCGTTCGCCATGCCAGTCCCTCGCCACATACAGCCGCTGCACATGAGCTTGACGGCGACTGCAGCCTCCCACTCCGTGTCGTTGTCGGGGAGCTCTTGGACTCGATTTGTGCCGCCGAGATCCATCTCTACCCTCGCCGCCTCGAGCTAGGCGGCTGCAGCCTACCACTCCGCGCCACCGCCGGAGAGCTCGTCGACCCGATTTGCGCCGCCAAGATCGACCTCCGCCCTCGCCGCCCAGTGCCAGGCCAAATCCGGAGCTCGTGGCTGCAGAAGGGAAGAGGATGTCATCGCCGCTCCGCCCAGCATCGAGCTCCATGCCGCCGGAAGTGGAGAGGCGTTGACAGGGAGAAGCTGCTGGCAGGGAGAAGGGAGAGGCTGCCGGCGAGGAGAGGGCAGAGGCCACTGGCGGGGAGAGTTCGTTGCAGAGCGGAGTGGGGGGCGGAGGTGGTGGAGTTCGTCACCGGTGAACTCGCCAAGGTGGGGGTGTAGGGGAATGGGAGGGGGTTTTGGGGGTGGATGAGGTGGTGGGGTTAGGGGGTGGGATTTATATTTTTCTCTCAAATTTAGGGTGGTTAGTGTAAAATTTGGACTTATTTGTAAATTGAAAAAATATGAGGGCTGAAATCGTAAGGGGCAGGGCTGAAACGAAAAACTGAAGTCACTCACGAGGCTCTTTGCACTGTGGGAATGCCAAAATTAGGATCCGTGTCTTTAGTCTATGTGGCATCTTGTGGTTTCTTGGTTGAGTGGCTTGCACTTTGAGTGTCCTTATGGTAGAACCAACCTATCTAGATTATCCTAGATTTAACACACACACCCAGGTTCAAATCCTACATTTGATACAGGTGCTCGCATTTATGGCTAATTATTCTTTCAATGATACATGTGGTGACTTCGTCAATCTGAATACACAGTTTTTCGGAGATGCTTATAACGATAGGGTGTGCATGTGTATATTCATAGGGATGAGTGTGCGTGTGTGTTTATAGATATGAGTGTGCTCGTATTGTTAGCCTATGCCTTTGTGCTATGTTTCTAAAAAAAAAAGAACATATTCTTTTAATTCAATCTATACAAATTTCATCTTGAGACGTCACTAAGTCGTCAAACCAAGCCAGCCATCTCGTTTCTCTTCTCCTTCAACGACAGGACTAACCAACAACGATACACGCCATGATCCGGAAGGGCTCGGCGCGTCTGAGCCCGCGCGCCGTGAGGCAAATCCACGGCCACCTGGTCGTCGGAGGCATCGCCGCCGCGCGTCTCCAGCATCTCCGGGAGCTCCTGCTCTCCTGCGTCGCCACGTTCCGCGGCAGAATGGGCTACGCCCGCAAGGTGTTCGACGGAATCCCCCGCCCGGACCTCTTCATGCACAACGCCATGGTGCGCGGGTACGCGCACGCCGGCGCGCCCGGAGATGCGTTCGCGGTGTACCGGCGGATGACGGAGGCTTCCCGCCTGCGGCCCGACGCGTTCACCTTCTGCTACCTGCTGCGGGCGTGCGCCGGCCTGCCGGGTTCTCGCGCCGGGCGCCAGGTCCATGGCGCGGTCGTGAAGCTGGGATTCTTGAAGGACGCCTACGTGAGGAATGCGCTCATCAACATGTTTGCCAAGTGCGGGGATCTGAGGGTTGCCAGCGTGCTCCTTGACGAGGCCGGCGAGGGGGATGTTGTGGCGTGGTCGGCTGTGATAGCGGGGCATGCGGCGAGAGGTGACATGGCTGCTGCACGGAAGATGTTTGATGAATGTACGCACAAGGACATAGTTTGTTGGAACGTGATGCTGGGCGCATATGCAAAGCATGGAGAGATGGAGAATGCGAGGGAGCTGTTCGACCGTGCGCCTGAAAAGGATGTGGTTTCGTGGAACACCATAATCACTGGGTACGCCGCGCAAGGGATGCTGAAACATGCGTTGGAGGTGTTCGATGAGATGAGGGCAGCAGGGTGGACACCTGATGAAGCGACTATTGTTAGCTTGTTGTCATGCTGCGCGAACACGGGGTTGCTCGACGCAGGGAGGATGATACATCATCAGTTGCACTTGGAACGGCGGCCATGGATAAGCATTGTTGTTGGAAATGCATTGGTATCAATGTATGCAAAGTGTGGCGATTTACATACTGCAGTCGAAGGCTTTAACACGATGAAGGATACGGATGTTTGGACATGGAACTCAGTCATAGGAGGACTGGCCTTCCATGGACAAGCAGAACAATCTGTCCGATTCTTCAAGAAAATGCTCGAGAAGAGAATACACCCAAATGAGATTTCTTTCCTATGTGTACTTGGTGCATGCAGCCATGCTGGATTAGTTGAAGATGGTCAGAAATTTTTCTATCTGATGAAAGACAGGTATGGAATTGAGCCCAATGCGAGGCATTACAGTTGCATAGTAGACATGCTTGGGCGTGCAGGCTTACTAGATGAAGCATATGCGATTGTGAGCAACATGAGGTGTGAACCAAGTGCGGTCGTATGGAGGACATTGCTTGGGGCCTGCAGAACCCATGGCAATATGACCCTAGGCAAGCTTGTGAGGGAGAAGCTTCTAAACATGAATGAAGATGCAAGTGCTGACTATGTTCTGCTCTCGGGAATTTATGCCTCATCTGGTGAATGGTTGGGGGTGGAGACAGAGCGGAGGTCAATGGATAGAAGAGGGATAAGAAAAGCTGCTGGTTATGCTCAAATTGACCGTAAACCTGCTGGTCTTTCTGCACCGTGATTACTGTATATTATATGGAGTTGCATGCAAACAGTACATCAAATTCAAAACTACCGAACAAAGTATCGTCAGCAATGAACATGAATGAGGATGAGAGTAGCAACTACATGCTGCTCTGGTATTTACACATCAAAGGGTGGAGACGGAGCAGAGGTTAACAGATATTCAGGATGACAGAATAAACTAAGTGTTCAACACTGATATGAAGTGAAGTGGATAATCTCACTGCATCAAAGAAGAAGATAACTTGCTATTCATAAGATCCCGTGACTTGGTTGTTTATACCATGTATGATCAAGCATATTCAAAACCTCTGAATCATGGTCTGATGAGCACTTAGCACCATCACTGGCTCACTGCCACTTAGCAGGTATGAATTTAATCATTTGGTGACACTTGTCACACTTTGGTAATTTGGTTGATGCAATCTAACAACAATTGTGATCGTAAGTACAACAATATTTTAAATCCATAACACCACATCTATATTTCATTTTCTGTAGCATTCATATATGAAGTGTACAATCAAGGGGATACACAAGATAGAAGAGGTTGATAGCAAGAGAAAAATAGGCACACAGATTATTACATAGGCAAGTAAGTGCAAGAACCTCGCCATAATATGATACTTCACACTACAGGAAGCAAACAGTTGGCAATTTGGTCTATCGCCTGGCTAATGCAATAGCCGAGAGGAATATGAGCAGTACCAGCACAACCATGGCTGCAAATGAGCCAATCAGGGAGCCAGAGATGCGCTCACAGAAGGAATCAAACTGCTGGCAAATAGCAAGCCAGTTTGCTCTGGCATTTCCCTTGTGTGCTAAGTACACAATAGCTGCTGCAGCAGATGCCCCCGCGGTCACCAGAGCTAGCATTGCCTTCACAAGAATCACAGGTAAGTTAACAATCTATTTGCATGCTGATGCTATTCATTCTTTACTGTATAGTTAGTAACTGTCACACTTTTATTCAGGATGAAAGAAGAAACTTAGTGTTCAAAACTGATATGCAGTAAACTGGAGAAAGTGATAATCTCACCGCATCGAAAAAGATCAAGATGAGCCTGCTATACTTAGCCCTGCTCCTAATGACGTGCACAATTGACAGTGGGAGTGAAAGGATGAGATAGGCAGAGACAATAGAGTTTGCCACCACAAAAAACCTGCCAACAAGAGATAAAAATGATCGAACCATCAGATGTCCATAAGTTATCTAAAGAAGCAATGCTATCAACTATTGAGGAGGCTTCTGCAAGTACGTGAGAGTTGGGAGATCGCTGTATTGCGCCTTGAACCGGATGAACTGGGTGAAGAAAGGCAGCGTCTGATTGGTGGTGCCCATGGCAATGGCACTCGCGAGGGTGCCAATGATCGCGACAAAGCGAAGTATAACATCGAGTATAGACACTCCTTTACTGACCCCCCTGCTCAGGGGTGCCTTTGAGGTCTCACCATGCTCCTCAGACCCTTCCATGGTGAGATTCTACAGCTCTTGAACCTGTGAAACTCAAATTGCTCAAGAGGTTTTGAATAAACCATTCCACCTTTCTCACACATATATACATGGTAATCTGCAGGTAATGTGCGTGGATTAGGTCCGTTGATGCCAGAGCAGGTGGCCGTGCAGGATTTGTGTTGATACGTACTTCCAGGAGCATTTCGGCTGGTAACTACTCCAATTGCCCCAAGTAGACCAATTGCATTGTTTCATGCAGGGTTTGTGGCCTCTTGGCCCTCTTTACACCAGTGGACTACTGAACTTCCACTGAACACGGGACTGGCTTGTGTCATGGCTATGCGTCTTGTTATGCAGGAGGCTTCAACTGAACGTTCGTTAGCTCGTTCCAACTACAAAAAAGGCATTGATACACACTGTTGCAAGTCATTTCATAAGATGCAGGGATATCTGCTATTCTGTCTGGAGCTTCTCTTTCGTTGTGAAGCAAGTTGGGTTGGTGTATTATTATTTCCTGCCCCTGCCAACTCAAAGAAACATATATGGCTACACCTACACACTCAGCTGTAATGCATAGCGCTACCACTTCCCTTTTAAGCTGAGTAGTTGCTTTTACCTCAAAAAAGACTGAGTAATTGCTCATGTGCACTGCCTTCTATCTCCTCCCAAAAGGTTGGCCCAAAGGGAGGTTGGCCCAAAGGAGCCGGATGTAATTTTGACGGTTGACGATTTTGCAGTACAATAAAAATGGTTTTGCTATCTGTCATTCAACAGATTTTTGGTAGCTATATCAGTCAGAGTAATTTTGACGGTTGACGATTTTGCAGTACAATAAAAATGGTTTTGCTATCTGTCATTCGACAGATTTTTGGTAGCTATATCAGTCAGATTTCTAAACCGTTGGATGGGTATTGAGATTGGTGCTGACCGTTGGATGTGAACTGATATTTATGCTAGCTGCAAAAACAAAAATCTCATTGTCCCGTAACCATAAAAAATAGCTACGAAGGATTTTTTTTTCCCAAAATAAGTTCACTTCTCAGTAACCATTACATCAACTGATCAAAGTTTATAAAAGTAGAAAATAATTATATTGAGAGTAGATAAAATGAAAAATAATTGCATTGGTATTTAATAATATGGGTATATTTGTTTTTATTGGTGTGTGAATGATGAAAAAGATAAATTTATTTTGGAACAAAAGGAAGTAATTACATGCAACTTACATTCAAGCTATATTATAATTATTCGATAGTTATATTATAATTGCATACTCCCTCCGTTTCGAAATGTTTGACACCGTTGACTTTTTAGCATATATTTGACCGTTCGTCTTATTCAAAAACTTTCATGAAATATGTAAAATTATATGCCTACATAAAAATATATTTAATAATGAATCAAATGATAGAAAAACAATTAATAATTACTTAATTTTTTTGAATAAGACGAACGGTCAAACATGTGCTAAAAAGTTAATGGCGTCAAACATTTCGAAACGGAGGGAGTATTAATTAAACCGTACTTATAATTGGCAGATTTTTTATTGTATTTCTGCTAAAGGTTAGAAAGACAGTCCCAATAGTCGTTCGAAAGACAGTCCCAATAAAAATGCCCAAGAGACTACTACGGCTTATTCAGCCCAGGCATTACATGTAGAGTCAGCCCAGCAAGCGTGTCACATCGCATGAGATGTTCGGACACTAATTAAAAAAAACTAATTACATTATAGAATCTATCAATAAACCGCGAGATGAATTTATTAAGCTTAATTAATCTGTCATAGCAAATTATCAAATCATAGAGCAATTAGGCTTAAAAGATTCGTCTCGCAAATTAGTTGCAACACAGGCTCTACATTGCCACACGCCTCGTCCTTGCATTGTAAATGGCCTAAAAACACAAAGCACCTGATCTGAATCTGCAACCCTTTTTGCTGCTCCTGTGAAATTTGTTGCTGCTGTCCTTCTATTAAAAATAGGAAGCACCCACAGCTCCAATATTAAATTTGGCACATCCTAAACAAAGGAGATGCAACGAACAGTTTAAATCGACCTGCAGTTAAGAGAAACTGAAAAACCAATGGCAATCAGCAACCAAGGATAGAGCTTAAATCAACTTGTGGTTAGGATAGACCCAAAGACCAATGACAATCAGCAACCAGCGTCCACAAAACCTAGCTTTGAAGTGATCAAACGACACAACATAAAATTGTTAGATCCGGGGGCATTCTGACCAGTCAAGCCTTCATATTTCTTGCATCTACAAATCTGCTTCCCGGAGCCTGCTCAGCCTAATTGGTGGAAGAATCAGAGCGAGCACAGGGGGAAAATAAGTTTTCAAAAAGGGTCAATTTGTCAAAATTTCAGCAAGCACACGGCATGACAAAAATGGCAGCCAGTGCAATTTCAACTGGAGTAGTAGTAGTACAGCATCAGCAGAAGCTGATCACCGGAGTGGCCAAGCAGGCTTCAACGAACAAGCACATTCAGATCTCCGTTCTTTAGTGCAAACACTAGTAATCATCAGGCCAGCAGATCAGAATGCCCCCAATGGCAATGCCCCAAGCACTCAAGTCCTAATCTCACACGATGAAACCAAAAGAATGAACATTTTCACAATAAATTATAAATTGTATTTTCCTAGTTGATTAGTTAGCAAATTAGCATATAATGGAGAAGTATTAGGCAGCATTACAAATTCTATGCATCATCCACCAAATCTAGTGCAAATAAATTTTACTAGGAGCATTATATGCATCCACCAAAGCCTTCATAGTACTTGCAAGATAAATCCACTAGAGTCCACCTTAGCCATCTTGGTAAAAAGATGTGTGCATATGTACGGACTTGCGATGCAATTTACAAAGAGAAAATCTAACTAATCTTTTTAAAAACAGAGGAAGTACTATATGTTTCACCAGAGGCCAAGCAAGCTTCAAAGGAGAAGCATATTTTCAAATAACCATTTTTAGTGCAAAGTAAGGTAATGGTAATCATCAGGAAGAACAGAGCATAGTGCAGGAGAATGAATAAAAAGTGACAATAGCATCAGAGATTCCCCTAGACATGAGTCATCCTGTTGCTGCATCTTGATTTGATTCAGATGCACTGCAGATGTTCTTGTCTTGCTTCTCATCATATGCTAACATCACTCATGTCATGAAATGTTAAAAATTGCAACATTAATCATGTTTTATCAATGATAAGGATCGACAGAAACTAGCAACGTTCCCAGATCCATCCAAAGTTAAAGTTGATTTTTGGAAGACAAAAACAAATGGCAGTAAACAACAGCACTGGCTGCATGCATGGAAAGCAGGCAGCACCGAAGTTTCAAAGAACCAAGATTATTAAGGAAGTACAAGGAATCTAGAGACACCATCCAATCAATCTGCCAAAGCCTTCATATTTTTTGCATCTACATGTTCCTCTCCGGAGCCCATTTAGCCTGCTTGGTGGAAGATAATCAGAGGGATATATATGTTTGTGCATGCATGTATGTCAGGGTTTATTTTCATTTAACCCTGAGAGAAAATTCAGAGGGATTATTCACATGATCAACCAAGTGGCCAAGCAGGCTTCAACGGAAAAGCTCATTCAGATCTCCGTTCTTAGTGCAAACAAGAGCAATCATCAGGCTGGAAGATCAGAACAACTTTATGTCAGCAACAAAATGCCTCGGATTAGTTACTTTTAGTTGCAAAATGCTTGTGTACATATAACACCATCATAGCCATCAAAATCGAAAACGCATCAGTGCTTCACATGGAAAGGGATGCAAAATCCAAGAAGCCATAAAAACAGATAGGAGTATTAGCATCAGAGATTCCCCTAGACAGAGTCATCATGCTATTGCGTCCCTGATTTGGATCAGGAATGCGGCAGGTGATCTTGTCCTGCTTCTCATCATATGCCAAATTCGTAGTGAAATCTTGCAAGATATGAAGACAATAAACCAAATTCACGTAGCACTAGCAAGCTGACAGCATATTAGCTGTCAAAATCAAAATTTGTCGTGGACACTGAGAAGATCATGTCATCCACATAAAACTAGAATTAACCAATTGCACTTATAACAAAGCCATGAATCCTGAAGGGGGCATTATTTAATCCGTCAGAGCCTTCATAACACTTGCGTCTACATACGCATCCCCGGAGCCTGCTTAAGCCTGCTGGGTGGAAGTGGAAGAGAATGACAATGAGAGGGACATGTGAAAATGGAACATACATCATGAAATTGATGGAATATTATGGGAAACGGAGGGAGTACAGTACTACTACATAATCCACCACATAGACCAAGCGGGCTTCGACGGAGGAGCGCATTCAGATCTCCGTTCTTACAAACATCAGTAATCATTAGGCTTGCAGATCAAGATGCCCCAACAAAGCAAGTTAACTTATAATCTCCCACAAACAAGAAAAAAAATTAAGCTTCCAAAATAAGTAAACCTCTATTCGCACAAGTTAATTGGCTACTTCATAAGCATCTTCATTTCATAGCTACTACTAGCTCACAAATGCAATGGCATCACCAACAATGGAGTAATGGAATCGGAGTGCCTCAGATTAAAATGATTTTTCATAGCTGAAAGCTCAAAATATATTTAACACCATCACAGGCAACTTTACCAGCATAAAGAACACGGAAGAAAAGGGAGAAAAAAGACAGGAGATGAAGATCACAAGACGCTCAAAGATGAAATGCAAGCGCGAAACTGACGTATCTTGCATCAGAGATTCCCCTAGACGGAGTCATCATGCTATCGCGCTCCCCGACTCGGATCGAGGGGCGCTGCAGACACCTTGTCTCGATTCTCGTCATCTGCTAATCTGCTCTACTCTAGTAAGGGAAAAAGGAAGGGAGTCATACGAATCGAGAACTAGGATGAATACCGACTATGGCATGGCATGCACGCATCAATCGGTGAACACGGAAAAACAAAAAACACCAAAACATGCCATCGATTTGGAGAAGCATCTGCAGAAACCAGATCTGAGACTGAGAAGCAAAGAATCCATCAGCCGGGGGGAAAATAGCAGAGAAACCGAACATAGAAATCACAGATCTGACAACCGGGTGCGGGCGAAGTGGCGGCGGCGGCCACTAGGAGGGAAGGAGCAGCGCGCGGGAGGGCGGGAGTATGGAAATGGCGCTAGACCTAGGGTATGGGGATGGCGCTGGCTTTGGAGGCGGCGGCGCGGAGGACGGGAGGAGGACGGTTCGCGCTGTCTTATATCTTTGTCACCGAATTCAGGCCGAAATTTCTCTTCGTCTACAAATTCGGCCCATCTATGGTGTGTTTGGTTGCCTGTATGATGCCTGGCTCGCATTGCGGATGCAGGCAATGGCGTGTTTGGTTGCCTGCACGTCCGTCCGAGCCAGGCTCAACTCGTGCAAATCACACCCCGGAGCCAGGCTCGGAGGAAACGCGGACATCGACCTTCGCTACTCAGCCAGGCTCCGTTCGTGCAGACGCGGGTGCGGGGATGCATGCGCGGATGCAAGCGCGGGGCAGGGGGCCGTGAGTCTGCTTACCTTTCTCTTCCATTTGCGTAAGCTCTCCATCTCTTCTCCTCCCCTCAAGCCATCGCCATCTAATTCGCCTCCAATCGCCTGGCTGACCACGAGCACGACGGGCTTCGAGCTTGACCGGTCCCGACGAAGCTCCTCCGGCCTCAAGCTTGGCCGGCCCTCACTAGTGGCTTATCTTCCCTCCTTGCTTCGAACGCTGCCTTCATCTTCTTGGTCGTCGCCGTCGTTGTCTTCCCTGACAGCTCAGTCATCTCCGTGCTGAATACCTGCCACTCCCTCTCAATCCCGACCAGATCTGGTGGCCAGCCTATAGATCCGGCGAGCAACCAACCGATCCAGCAGCTGCGATAGCAGGGATCCAGAGCGGCGAGCTGTGTGAGCTTCACCGACGAGCAGTGAGGCAAAGAGAGATGAGCTGTAGGGCAGAGAGCTGCTGCTCATCAACGCTTCTTTTTCCTTCTCCTTTTGTTTTTTGTTTTTTCACACTTATCCATTGACTGATGATATCAAAGTAGTATTATCAAAGTGCCTAGCACAAAAGTTTAATGTTTACCGACATAATTTTCTTTACAGCCGTTGCTTGAATTTATTTGTGCGATAAATTGTTTTTCTCTAGTTTATTGAATTTGATATGTTGATGTTTATTACAATTTACCGTATTTTAGGCTTATGCAATATGGTTTTTAGTTATATATTTGGTAAAGGTAACCTCACCCTGTAAAATTGAGGAGGTAACCACACACAATCCATACAACCAACCAAACAAAATTTCAACCCAATCATATCTCTAGTGCAAGTAACCAAACAAAATCTCATCCCAGCTAGGCTAAACTGATACAAACAACCAAATGGTTGCATGTGTATCTCCTCATCCAGGCCAAACTCAGCCTGGATGAGAGAGATGAGCCGGGCTAGAGGGATGCCCGTCATTGAATTCGGCTAGCTAATCAGGCCCATTGATAGCTCAGGCCCCGTCATTTGGCTTTTTCCCTAATAAACCAAAACGGCTTATTAGAGAATAAAAATAAAACTATAGTTTAAACTTTTATATATGTGTTCTTGATGATTTAAAAGCCAATGCTTAAAAAGAAACTATATTAAAAATATCTTAAAATCAATTTCAAAATTAAGTTTGAAAATTTAAATTTTGACTTATTCTTTGCTATTTAGACGATCGGATGGGAGCCTCAATGAATCCGATCCACCTTTGAATGAATTGGGATTATGAACAAATTGGACAGAAATCAGGCCACATAGATTACACTTTGGCCCACATATAGGCAAAGATGACGCCATGGCGCTACAGTCGCATGTTTGCTTAGTTACTAATACTAATCTCATGATCAATAATTTTCTAAAAAAAAATCTCATGATCAACAATAAAGATGCGCGCTTATGAACAATTTATTAATCTAATTAATCAATTAGTAACAGGAAAAGGGCCAGAAGCCCATTGTTACGGAAAGGACAACAGTACATGTAAGAACTTATTCCGTTGTACAGGCTCACATTAGAAAACTTTAAGTGTGGCGGGCTGGGCGTATAGTTGGCCATATGGCCCAAGGCCCGATGGCCCGGCCCATGGCACGGGAATTTGGCCCGGCCCAAGCACGGCACGGCCCGGTAGCAGTCGGGCCCATGCCGGCCCGGCACAACTATTGGGCCGTGCCTGGGCCTATGGCTGGGCACGGTGGGCCGGCCCGGCACGGCACGGACCGAGGTCGGCAAGATGGGCCGGCCCGGCACGGCACGACCCAACGGTCGGCACGACCACGGCCCGTACCAACGGTAGGCACGAGCACGGCCCAGCCCAACAGACAGCCAGGTCGCGCCGCATATATAAGCCAGCGAGCGCTGCCCCTCCCCTCCCCAGTCCCCTCTCGCCTCTCGCTCTCCGCCTCTCCGCCTAACCCTAACCCTAGCCGCCACCGCTCAACCGCCTCCGCCGATCCGCCTCCGACGCTCCACCGCCCACCAGATCTCCTCCTCCACCGTCCGCCGCTCACTCGCTCAGGGCCTCAGGCGCGCACCGGTGAGACTCACCGAGTCGCCTCCCTTCCACTCTTCCAGATCCAGCCTTTCTCTTCGTCTCCGATCGATGCCTCGCCTGACTCGCATGAGGGGCGCATGAGGATGGGGGCCACCGGCCACGCATGGTCGCCTGAGTCATCGTCCTTCCACTCTTCCAGATCCAGCCTTCCTCTTCGTCTCTTTCCCTTTTGTTCTTCTTCGCCAGATCCCTTGGTCTTCTCGTAGATCCGTGAGCCTATCGTCTTCAACGGCAACTCCGGTGCTCCGGCTGCGCAGGTACAAGCATGGAACCATCGTTTTTCTTTTTTTTCTCCATTTCCGACCCTAACCTTGAGTGTTGTTGGCTGCTTGCAGGTCGCAAGCCCGTTGCTTAGCGGCAGCCGCCGTTGAGGGACCAGAGTGCCTGCGATGGACGACGATCCTACCTCTGTCAACTACGAGTTGAGGACTATGGGGATGCGCGGTGATGACAATGATGATGTGGAGGAGGATCATGTGGAGGTGTTCGGCAATACCTCCGACATCCCGATCCATGTGAATGTCGATGACGACGACCCGCCGGTCGACGACAGTGGCAATGGGACGCCGACTGGCTCTAGTGCGACTTGTACCAACAAGAAGACCAAAACCTCTAAGGTATGGGATGAGTTTGAGGAACTTTATGAAACGACCAATGGTAATAGGGTTCGAGTCTCTGCTAAATGCAATTACTGTCATAAAACTTTGAGTGCTCGTTCTTCTGCTGGCACTGGACATTTGCTTAGGCATATTAAGTCATGCAAACCTAGAAAGCTTGGGTCTAATGCTTTGCCTCAGTCCATGCTTAGATTTAGTGCAGATGGTTCTGTTATTCCATGGGAATATAGTCCTGAAGTTGCTAGGTTTGAATTGTGTAGATTGATTGCTAGAGAGGATCTTCCAATCAGTTTTGGTCAATCTCCTGCTTTTGTGAACTATATTAAGGCTGCTCATAACCCTAGATTTGTTCCTGTCTCTAGACAAACTACTACCAGAGATTTTTATAAGTTGTTTAAGGATCGTCGTTCTATTATTATTGATCGTCTCAATTCTGCTAGCTCTATTGCTTTGACATCTGATATATGGTCTGGTCATGCTAAGGAAGATTATTTGAGTGTTGTAGCTCACTTTGTTAGTTCTGATTGGCAATTAGAAAAGAGGGTCTTGGGTCTTAGGCTTATTAATGAGTCACATACTGGTGCTAATATTGCTGAGCGTGTGATTGCTGTTGCTGAAGAATATGGTATTACTGATAAGGTTTTCTCTATTACATTAGACAATGCTTCTGCTAATTCTAAAGCTATGGACACCCTTACTCCTGCTCTGTCTGGTTATATTGGTGATTTATTTTTGCATCAACGCTGTGCATGTCATATCATCAATTTGATTGTTAAGGCTGGACTTGACAAGTTCAAGCCCATGCTAAATGACATTAGAGCTGCCATTTCATTCTTGAATGCATCTAATCAGCGCATTGCTACATATAAAAATGTTTGCATTGCTGCGGGTTATGGTCCTCGTATGTTTGGTTTGGACATGGATGTTAGATGGAATTCAACTTATCTAATGCTTAAGCATCTCATACCACATAGGGAACCATTCACAGTATTTATTAGTACACAACATCCTTTTGTTAATGACCATCCATTACTCACAGACTTACATTGGGCATGTGCTGAATCTGTTTTGTGTTTCCTTGAACAATTTTATGATTCAACTGTTGTTTTGTCTGGTGTTTATTATCCAACATCTCCATTAATCATGCATCACATTTTAGAGATTGCTGGACATCTAAACACATATGGCAATGTTCAAAACCTTGCAAATGTTGTTGGTCCCATGAAAACTAAGTTTATGAACTACTGGTCTAAAATTCCAATTCTTTATTCATTTGCATTTATCTTGGACCCTAGGGCCAAGATTAGGGGGTTTAGTAAAGTGCTTCAGATTATGGCTCAACTCATTGGTGATGATTACTCTGCTTATTTAACAACTGTTAGAGCTTCATTGTCTGATACTTTTGCTAAGTATGAAAGAAAGTTTGGTTCTGTTAGATTGCATAGTTCCACTATTCCAGGCCCTTCCACTGGTAAGAAAAGGACTGCATGGGGGAAGATTTTTGGTTCTGTTGTTGCTGCTGGGCTTGGTGCTGGTAATGCAGGTGCCAGTCCAGGTGCTGGTAATGCTGGTGCCAGTCCAGGTGCTGGGCTTGGTGCTAGTTCATTATCCAGGATGACATCTGCTACTGCTTTGCTTCAGGCAGCTTCTTCAACTGCTAATCTCAATCCTTCTGAACTGTCTGCATATCTTGACAGTGACACTGTCAACCAATATGATGATGACTTCAATATCCTTAGTTGGTGGCAACAGCACAAACTAACTTATCATGTTCTTTCAATCTTAGCTAAAGATGTTATGACTGTTCCTGTTTCTACTATATCGTCCGAGTCTACTTTTAGCTTAACTGGCAGGATCATCGAGGACCGTCGGCGGCGTCTAAACCCTAGGCTGGTGGAAATTCTGGCAGTGATCAAGGACTGGGAGCTAGCAGATGCAAAAAGTCAGCATACTACTGAGAATGTGGAGCTTCAAAATGCTTATGAGAATATGTATCTTGATGATGAAATTGATGTAAACCCTTGAACTGGATGATTGTAATTGATATGAACATTTTAGCTATGGGCTGTACTCTTTTCCTTTCTAGGGTTTTCTCACGAGGTGTGAGTTTTTACCTAGAAAGGTTTTTAATGAGGCAGCCATTGCACAATCACAGCTTATATAAACCCCTTTTATATTCTAACTTTCTGAGGTTTGTGATTCTAAGATGGACTTGATAGAAAATAGTAGATGACTTGATGTATGCATTTGATGAATTGATTTGAACTGATTGTAAATCTGTGAGACTGTGACTTGATGAATTGGTGACTTGAAGAATTGTTCATTTGTTTGTAAATCTGTGCTTGTAAATCTGTGACGTGATGTATGCATGATTTGATGAACTGGTGACTTGATGAATTGTTTGTGATTCTTTGACTTATTTGATGAATTACATGTGAATTTCATGAATTTGATGTGTTATGTCAATTTGTTGTGTTGAATTGAACCTTTGAAGGGGTTTTTTTGCCAGGGCGTGCCTAGGCCGGCACGGGCACAATGGGCTAGCCGGGCCGTCGGGCCAGCCCGGCACGGCCCGAGGCTACTTGGGCCGTGCCTGGGCCGTGGTTGTAGCCCGTGGGCTGGCACGGCACGGCACGGCTTGTTCGTCGGGCCGTGCCGGCCCGACTGACCTCGGCCCAGGCCCGGCCGTGCCTGGGCCGTGCCGTGCTGGGCGGCCCATATGGCCAACTATAGCTGGGCGGCCGCTCGGCGTGTCCACGTCAGCGATTCGCTACAGTAGTACTTACAGTGCTCGGGTGTAT